CCTGGTTCAGTTCTGCTGTCAATCCAGACCACTGGGAGACTCGAGGCAAACCCTGGCTTCCAGTATGCTTTCCACCAGGACACTGGGAGGACTAGAGGAAACCCTGGTTCAGTCTGCTTCCAACCAGACACTGGGGAGACTAGAGGAAATCCCTGGTTCAGTCTGCTTTCCATTCCAGACACTGGGCGACCTAGGGCAAACCTCTGGTCCAGTCTGCTGTCCACCAGACATGGGAGACTAGAGGAAACCCTGGTTCAGTCTGCTGTCCACCAGGACACTGGGAGACTAGAGGAAACCCTGGTTCAGTCTGCTTTCCACCAGACACTGGGAGACTAGAGGAAACCCTGGTTCAGTCTGCGGCTGTCCACCAGACACTGGGAGACTAGAGGGAAAACCCTGCAGTTCCCGTATGCTTCCACCAGGACACTGGGAGGACTAGAGGAACACCCTTGGTTCAGTCTGCTGTCCACCAAGACACTGGGAGACTTAGAGGAAAACCCTGGTTTCAGTCTGATGTCCACAGACAACTGGGATGACAGATGGAAACCCTGGTTCAGTCTGCTGTTCCACCAAGACATGGGAGACTAGAGGAAACACTGGGGTTCAGTCTGCTGCCACCAGACACTGGGAAGAGACTCGAGGGAAACCATGGTTCAGTATGGTCCACCAGACACTGGGAGGACTAGAGGAGGAAACCCTGGTTCAGTATGAGTCCACCAGGGACACTGGGAGAGACTAGAGGAAACCTGTTCAGTCTGCTGTCCACCAGCACTGGGAGACAAATAACCTTTCAGCAGGACAATAACCTAAAATCCAGAGGACGTACGAATTGTGCATTCAACTATGATAGCCGGTGGGACAACCACCCATATTTTTATTATTCGGGGGGTGGGGGGGGTAGAAGGATTACTGGTTATACTATTCCAGGTATTCCTTAAAGAGGTGGGGTTTCAAGTGTCTCCGGAAGATGGTCAGTGACTCCGCTGTCCTGGCGTCGTGGGGGAGCTTGTTCCACCATTTGGGTGCCAAATATACACTGGAGTTGCTTACCAAGACGACATTGAATGATCCTGAGTGACCTAGTTACAGTTTTGACTTAAATCCGCTTGTAAATTTATGGCAAGACTTGAGAATGGTCTGTCTAGCAATGATCAACAACCAATTTGACAGAACTTGAAGAATTTTGAAAATAATCATGTGCAAATATTGTCCAAACCAGGTGTGCAAAGCTCTTAAGAGACTTACCCAGAAAGACTCACAGCTGTAATCGCTGCCAAAAGGTGATCCTAACATGGATTGACTCAGGGGGTGTGAATACTTATATAAATTATTAGTTCTGTATATCATTTTCAGTAAATGTGCAAAAAAATGCTAAGAACATGTTTTCACTGTCATTATGGGGTATTATGGGGTATTATGGGGTATTATGTGTAGATGGGAAAAAAATCAATTTAGAATTCAGGCTGTAACAACACAATGTGGAATAAGTCAAGGGCTACTTTCTGAAGGCTGTATATACCAGATAGGAGATAGCTAGATGTAGATATATATCAGTATATCAGCTAGATGTGTGTGTATATACAGTGCATTCGGAAAGTATTCAGACCCTTTGACTTTTTCCACATTTTGTTACGTTACAGCCTTATTCTAAAATGGATTCGTTTTTTTTCTCCCCTCAATCAATCTACACACAATACCCCATAATGACAAAACAAAAATTGGTTTTTAGAAATTTCAGCAAATGTATTAAGTATTCAGACCCTTTACTCAGTACTTTGTTGAAGCACCTTTGGCAGCGATTACAGCCTCGAGTCTTCTTGGGTATGACGCTACAAGCTTGGCACACCTGTATTTGGGGAGTTTCTCCCATTCTTCTCTGCAGATCCTCTCAAGCTCTGTCAGGTTGGATGGGGAGCGTCGCTGCACAGCTATTTTCAGGTCTCTCCAGAGATGTTCGATCGGGTTCAAGTCCGGGCTCTGGCTGGGCCACTCAAGGACATTCAGAGACTTGTCCCGAAGCCACTCCTGCGTTGTCTTGGCTGTGTGCTTAGGGTCATTGTCCTGTTGGAAGGTGAACCTTCACCCAAGTCTGAGGTCCTGAGCGCTCTGGAGCAGGTTTTCATCAAGGATCTCTCTGTACTTTGCGCCGTTCGTCTTTTCCTCGATCCTGACTAGTCTCCCAGTCCCTGCCGCTGAAAATAATCCCCACAGGAAAATGCTGCCACCACCATGCTTCACTGCAAGGATGGTGTCAGGTTTCCTCCAGACGTGACGTTTGGCATTCAGGCCAAAATGTTCAATCTTGGTTTCATCAGACCAGAGAATCTTGTTTCTTATGGTCTGAGAGTCTTTAGGTGCCTTTTGGCAAACTCCAAGCGGGCTGTCATGTGCCTTTTACTGAGGAGTGGCTTCCGTCTGGCCACTCTACCATAAAGGCCTGATTGGTGGAGTGCTGCAGAGATGGTTGTCCTTCTGGAAGGTTCTCCTATCTCCACAGAGCAACTCTGGAGCTCTGTCAGAGTGACCATCGGGTTCTTGGTCACCTCCCTGACCAAGGCCCTTCTCCCCCGATTGCCCAATTTGGCCGGGCGGCCAGCTCTAGGAAGAGTCTTCTTCCATTTAAGAATGATGGAGGCCACTGTGTTCTTGGGGACCTTCAATGCTGCAGACATTTTTTGGTACCCTTCCCCAGATCTGTACCTCGACACAATCCTGTCTCTGAGCTCTATGGACAATTCCTTCGACCTTATGGCTTGGTTTTTGCTCTGAAATGCAAACTGTCAACTGTGGAACCTTATATAGACAGGTGTGTGCCTTTCCAAATCATGTCCAATCAATTGAATCTATCACAGGTGTCCAATCAAGTTGTAGAAACATCTCAAGGATGATCAATGGAAACAGGATGCACCTGAGCTCAATATCGAGTCTAATAGCAAAGGGTCTAAATACTTATTGAAATAAGGTATTTCTGTTTTTTCTAAATGCACTGTATCTAACCTTTGGCCTCCTCCCAGGGAGTGTCGGGGGGGAGGGGTTGTGTTGCAATGGCAACGGTGGTGCTGGGTGCGGTTGCCGTGGTGATGATGCGTAGGTAGAGGGTGAAGAGGCGTGGTGTCAGGCGGCAGGCGGGGCAGCAGATCCCAGGGGGCGGAGAGAAGAAGGAGGAGAGGGCTGAGCTAAAGTCCCCTGCCTTCATCAGGAAGAGAGGGATCAGGTCCCGCACCGCCTGGACTCTGGAGTAAACAGAACCTTTACATTTAGTCATTTATCCAGAGACACATGGACAAGCATTATATACACACACACACACACACACCACACACACACTATACAATATTCAGTATACACACACGCTATACAATATTCAGTATACTTTCACACACAGGTAAATATATACACTACCAGTCAAAAGTTTGGACCAACCTACCCCATTCAAGGGTTTTTCTTAATTTGTACTCTTTTTTACATTGTAGAATAATAGTGAAGACATCAAATCTATGAAATAACACATATGGAATCATGTAGTAACCAAAAAAGTGTGAAACTAATGTTATATTTGAGATTCTTCAAATAGCCACCCTTTGCCTTTGATGAAAGCTTTGCACACTCTTGGCATTCTCTCAATCAGCTTCACCTGGAATGCTTTTCCAACAGTCTTGAAGGAGTTCCCACATATGCTGAGCACTTGTTGGCTGCTTTTCCTTTACTCTGCGGTCCGACTCATCCCAAACCATCTCAATTGGGTTGAGGTCGGGGGATTGTGGAGGCCAGGTCATCTGATGCAGCACTCCATCACTCTCCTTCTTGGTCAAATAGCCCTTACACAGCCTGGAGGTGTGTTGGGCCATTGTCCTGTTGAAAAACAAATGATAGTCCCACTAAGCCCAAACCAGATGGGGATGGTGTATCGCTGTAGATGCTGTGGTAGCCATGCTGGTTAAGTGGTGCCTTGAATTCTAAATAAATCACAGACAGTGTCACCAGCAAAGCACCCCAACACCATAACACCTCCTCCTCCATGCTTCACGGTGGGAACTACACATGCTGAGGTCATCGGTTCACTCACACTGCGTCTCACAAAGACACGGCGGTTTTGAACCATAAATCTCCAATTTGGACTCCAGATCAAAGGACACATTTCCACCGGTCTAATGTCCATTGCTCGTGTTTCTTGGCCCAAGCAAGTCTCTTCTTCTTATTGGTGTCCTTTAGTAGTGGTTTCTTTGCAGCAATTCAACCATGAAGGCCTGATTCACAACAGTCCCTCTGAACAGTTGATGTTGAGATGTGTCTGTGACTTGGAGTCTCAAAAAGCATTTATTTGGGCTGCCAATTTCTGAGGCTGGTAACTCTAATGAAACTTATCCTCTGCAGCAGAGGTAACTCTGGGTCTTCCTTCCTGTGGCGGTCCTCATGAGATCCAGTTTCATCATAGAGCTTGATGGTTTCTGCGACTGCCCTTAAATAAACTTTACAAAGTTCTTGAAATGTTCTGTATTGACTGATCTTCATGTCTTAAAGTAATGATGGACTGTCGTTTCTCTTTGCTTATTTGAGCTGTTCTTGCCATAATATTGACTTGGTATTTTACCAAATAGGGCTATCTTCTGTATACCCCCCTACCTTGTCCACAACACAACTGATTGGCTCAAACGCCATTAAAAAGGAAATAAATTCCCACAAATTAACTTTAAAAGGCACACCTGTTAATTGAAAATGCACAAGAGTAAAACCACACACACAGGTTAAAATATATATGACAAAGTTTAAACAACAAAGTGTTGGTCCCGAGCTAATAAAGTCCCAAATGTTAAAATAAAAGTGATTTCACTGCTTTTTCACTTTGTACAAATTTTCCTCATTTTCATTTA